CCTTGACTATATACACGGGCATTCACAGTCAACAATCACTTCCAACCGCCTCGTTTTCCGTGCATTTCAACCGCCTCCACTGTCGTCGCCCGAATGGCATAATCGACAGCCACACGGTGAATTGGGAAGATACTTATCATGACAAACGTACTGTGCTTTGCATAATTCAGCCCGACACATCTCAGGATCGGCACCTCCTCGCGAGCCAGCGGCCCGAGGAGTTTCTTCACCGTGACCACCTCGTCCGTCACCTTGGTCTTGCCGGTCGTGTCGAAGATGTCGTCGCCCACGATGACCTTGGCCTTCAACTGGTCCGCCTCGGTGACGTTGCCCAGGTCAAAGTCCTCGCTGGGCAGGATCGGTTCGCCGCGCAGGACTCGGCCGTCGGTCGCGACGAACCGGATCAGTCTCGTCCAGGGCACTTTCATCGTGGGGGGCGGGTTCCTTGGGCGTCGAAGTTGTTGGTACTGCTTTTTATTTCTTTCTTTCTTTTCTCACGGGGCACAATCAGATAGATGGATGGATGGATGGTAGTCAGTCGAGGTTTAATGGTCGTTGTGATATTACACAGCGACATGGACATGTGGGGTTCAAGTTTGGAATGGAGACAAAGTGGAGGAATTGAGAAGGGGACGGGGAAAGAACGGAATGGCGTGCCCAAGCAAATCTCCCATGCTGACTTGGTGAGTTGTTCCCAGCAAAAGGGAACGATAATGAGACGGAGCTAATCGGTCACAAGTGCGAGTGTGCGAGGCTCGCTGTATATACAATTTTGAAGGCTCTGAGCAGTCAATGTACTTGGAGATTCTCCTCGACAGAGATATGGGAATATTGTTCAGTCTCGTGCAACCTTCGTTCCTGGCTTCTAGGCCGAGGATCCTCTCTCTCTCTTAGCTAGCCAGCCATCATAGCAGTCAACCCTGGCTCGACACCGACCAGGTCCGCAAACAGATCGAGACTATTGTCCGTCCAATACTGGTGCATGGTCATGTCAAACGCCGCGAAAGGGTCGTCTTGACCCAGACTCGGCAGCAGGCCGTTCGTTGCAATGCCCCCGTCCATAGCCCCCTGGGGCTGCAACGAGACGCTGTTCTGGCTACTGAGCTGGGCGGCCTCGCTTTGCTGTCCAGAGGACAAAGCGGACAAGATAGTTGGGCCGTGCTCGAGATTAAACTGCACCAGTGTCATGCATATCTGCACGAGCTTCAACAGTGTCTTCCTGATCCTCTTTGCCGTTTTGGTGCCTTCGCCGAACCGCTTCAGCGTCTCCATGGCCCGTCGGAGCCGTGTGATCATCTCGACGATCTTGGCCGAGTCCAACGAGTCACTGGTGGCGATTGACGGGCTGTTCACAGAGTGCAACCTCGACGGAGCGATTTCTAGCAAAATGCAACTGAAGATTACCAGAGCCGCGTTGAATGCTTCACAGACATGGTTAGCACTAGGCATTCAGTGATCAGAGACGATGGTGCGTACTGTAGTAGGCAGTGAACCACCACGCCCCCAACAAGGCAGGCGGTTTACTCGTCTTATGGACAATCTCGACGATCTCCAAGGCAGCTTGCTCACAGATCTTGACGCTTCGTTCTCCGAGATCGTTGAAAAAGGGATCTTCCGGCTCGACTGGTTCCCCAGATACCTTGACCCGTGCCCTTTGACGTAAAAAGGCACTCAAGATGGGTCTGTGCAGGAGGATCCGCGTGTTGAGATATCTGAGCGTGATGATGACGCTCAGTCTGTCAAAGACCGGATCCCAGGCGGAGAGGGAGACGGTGTCGGGATCGAGCGTGTCCCACGGCCGCCGTTGCAGCTGAGGGAACAGGTTATGCTTCCAGGCTGCCATTTTCTGTTCGAGAACGACCGTTCTTTCCAGCATTGTTGGAACGGTCAGCCCCGGGTCGATGTCCACGTTACCCCCATAGAGCTCGGATATTATGTCTCCCAAAATATAGTATAGTTGTCTGCCAATTGTCAACAAACAGAACATCGAATGCCTCAAAAAGAAAAACCTCACATTGTTGCCGTGAAAAGACAAACTGTGTCTGGCGGGTCCAAGCTGCTCATCGAAGTCGCAGAATTTCCCAGCATCGACAGCCGCTCCAAGTTCTGATTCAACGGGAGGTCTACTTTTACTATAGAGTTAGGCATCATGCAAGGGCGGCCAAAAGTCATGCTTAGCGTCCTAGAGCCCTGTGAGGAGTTGTTTCTCGTTTGCTCCATCACTGGTATGCTTACCTGTCCAAGATCATACAACCAAACCACGTCCGCTTGCGTATCTCGGCTTCTACCAAGTTTAGTCCTGAAGATGCGGTCTGCGAGTGCAATCCCAATTGGATCGCTGCACGGACTGCGAGGCCATGCAGATTCCAGGCCTGATCAGATCGCTGGGTGCCTTGGCGATACTGTGCCATCAAGAGCAAGCATTGGACTGCTGCCAATTAGTTATGTTACCCAGTGTGAGCGACTCGCAAATGAAATTTGACAGCATTTGCATCGACAACCGCAGAAAATTCGTCTCAACAAACACTTACCAGTCTCTAAACTGGCGGACTTCATCTCAATCTCACCCGACAAGGCTTGTGCCCTTTCTATAAATATCTCCGACTCGGCGGCATTCTTTTCAGCCGACTGGTCGGGTTTAGCGCTGATATATGTTGCGAATGCAAATATGGCGTTGACAAGGCATAGCCATGAACGACTCACCGCGCTGAAGCGGTTTCGGCGAGCAGCAGAGTATGTACGAAGAATGTCCTGCTCGTGAATGTAGGGAAACAGCATCCCGGTATCAGAGAAGAAGAGCCTGATAAGGTGCAGTGCGCGTGCTTCTGGAGGGAGCGACCGAATGTTTATGTGGTGTTTAGCGATGGGGCTGGTCTCTGAGAGAGTCGTAGTGACTGGCGAGGCTACCCGGGAGACTATGGGCTGGTTAAGTCCGCTCTCCGAGTGTCGAGACTGCCCCTTTGCCTTCAACGTAGCTGAAGTTGCGTCTGATATATGGCGGAGCAGTGCTATGTTCGACGAGGGTCCAAAGAACCTTGATTCCGTCTCTTCCGGGTCGGTGATGGCGGCCATGCCATCCACAGAGTCCTCGGCGTTTTGTTGGATGGAGTCATCTTCGTCGAGGATAGCAACGTCTTCATCATCATTTGGCACCTGTCGCGGCTCTTGGGTAGTTGTGCTGGTTTCTTGACTTGGCCGGTGTTGCTGATGGCTTGGTGGGTTCAATTGCTCAGAAGCCTCCGACGAAGAATGATTTCGATTGACGAGCAGCCTGAGCGTATCCTCGATAGCCCGCAGCCTCTCGTCATAGCCTGGCTGTAACTGAGGAGGTCTGACATTACCTGCGGCGGGCTGTTGGTAGATACAGTCGAACCCGAGCTCGACGCAGAGGCTGCAAGAGGGCCTAGCTCCATTGCAACGTGACTTGCGATTCCTGCAGGAAGTGCAAGCTAGCGCTATGCGCCGGCGTTTGTACGACGGTGGTGGTGTCGTCTGGTCCTGATCCTGTAGTTCGCTTTGGGAGCCCTTCTGGACTTGGGCATCCGACATCGCGGCCCCCCTATCTTGGTGCTCCTTTGTCGAGGCACCGTGGTATGACTCGTCACGTGTGTCTCAGGACTGTCACCAGAGGCAAAAGCATATCCGGGGCGCAGGATGGGAGAACAGAAGGGGTATATCGGGGAAGAAGCTCTCTTTTGTATGTTTGTGGGGATTGATAACGAGGCTGCGCCCGATCCGATTGCTTACATCTGCCTTTCGGTGGGCCACAGGTGCAATATGCAGCCTCGTACCCTTTCAATCAGTCCAAAGAATATTCGCAAGAAACCATTCCCCTGTGTTGATTGAATAACCGCCATCATCCGCTCTCTGGACTTCAGTTGCGACAAGCTTCATTGATGCCAAGTCTACGATTCCGATTTATACCCGGAGCCGACGAGGGGTAAATGTAGCTGTCTGACACATCCGACCACTCCAAATGCAACCAATACCCCCTCATTTAGTACTTGTCTGACAGATTGAATTTCCTTCCCTGCGTGCGGTGTCCCAACGTCGTCTCTCTACCTCATACATTCTCACACCGACATGCGGGTCACGATCAACTATGCTCTGCCACTACGTCCCAGATATCTGAACAATCCCTTTCCATGTGAAATAGATCGTGGACACTAGACGGCGCAGCGGCAATGGCATTGCACGTGGTGATTCGGCAAATTGCGCATTTCCCCAACAATAATCATCATGATTGTCATTATCATTGGCTGCTCATAGGTGTCCCGTTTGCTGTAGTACGAATAGACGAATAGATAGGAATTCCCTTGATGTGCGCTTTCTAGATGCTGTAAGGTTGGGGCCTGCAAGGGCCGAGCGAGTCAAGGGAAATGGATGGCATAGTGGGATGCGGCTCTTTCAAGGGGAAGGTGACTGCAGGGCAGAGTTCAAATGACGATGCTAGACTCGACTTACAGGCCCAGGAATCAAAGAATCCCATAGCGAGATTTCAAATGACAATAGGTCTTGCTCCCAGTCGACTCGCTTCTCCGCTGCCCTCCATTGTGCCTGTCCCCTCACTTCCCACTGCAGAGATATCGTGTCTTCAAACACCCATGCATGGCTACAGATCCAAATAAGCAGCTGAATTCCCCGTAAACGTCTAGACGCCACGCAAACCTGGAGATACAATTCGGACAAGGCACAAAGACAGTGGAAGCGGGTAACCATCGGACACTGTTGAATTGCCCTCATCGATTTTGCTTCCCCCACAAACCCCACAAAGGGACACCAACAAAACGGACAAGGCTGAGGGACAGCGAGAAAGTACCGACGTACAGTAAGCAGCCATGATGGACCTTGTCGACGCCCGCTCATGACAAGGTAGTCGGTCGTAACACGGGCAGCTTCCTATCATTCGATGCACATTTCTGGCACCTACTCCTCTGCGTCGTTGCATTGTACATAGAGCCGAGAGAAACGGAGAAAGAGGAGGAATTGCGGGACTGAGTATGGCACCGACAATACCAACGACGCAGATCGCCGCATGGCTCGAGAAGCCCCAGCCTGGCGCGCGGCTTCAACTCAGGAATGATATTGAGGTGCCATCCCCCAAAGAAGGCGAGGTGCTCGTGAAACTGGAATATACCGGCTTCTGGTGAGCAATTTCACTGTGTTGCTGTAATTGCGAACCGTAGTCTTGCTGAAGACTGATGCTTTTCTTTGCAAAGCCACTCAGATGTACACAGCATCTATGGTGAAACGCCCATGAGTACCGACATCGCGGGCCACGAAGGTGTAGGGCATGTGGTGGCTCGTAAGTGCCTTGCTGTGTGTTTGATTATCGAGGTTGACAAGCTGCAGTTGGACCCAATGTCCCCGGGGAGCTAATGAATGTCAGGCTCGGGATCAAGTCAGTCACATTCCACCCCTTTTGTACGTGCAGGTGTGTTGGACTATGGCTGATACTGGAGCAATTACTCCGTGCACAGGTGGTTGTACAGCACATGCGATACGTGCGAGATATGTGCCATCAATCCCACCGCCTGTCCCAACCAGATTAACGCAGGACGGGTGAGTCCTTTCATGGAAACTACATCCCGCCTGACTGTTCGGATGGTGCTGATTTGAGTTTGTCTCTAGAACACAAGAGGCACCTTTCAACGTAAGCTCCTCCCAACACTTTTTCCGGGGGGTTTCCAGACTGACTTCTGGAAAGAGTATATCGTTACCCCTGTCAAGCATGCCACCAGGATACCGTCGGGACTGAAGTCTGAGATTGCTGCTCCTTTGCTTTGCGGTATGTCTCAACAGCCGACTCCAATGAATCTTCTCTGAGTTGATGAATAGCCGGCTTGACCATGTATTCGGCGGTGGCAAAAGCAAGGCTGCGCCCAGGAGACTGGGTTCTGATTCCGGGTGCGGGAGGAGGACTAGGGCATATGTAAGTCCTCCCTTGTCCCATAGCATGATGCGGCCACCACAAGTAACATCCTGCAGCGGTGTCCAGATAGCCGCCAAACGCGGATACAGAGTGATTGCCATCGACGCTGGGGAGTCCAAGAGGGAACTGTGCACGAAGCTCGGAGCAACTGTTTTCCTCGATTTCAGGACAGATTCCGTCTGTGCCCTTTCTCCCTGAGCATTGAAGCCAGTTACTCATCCGAATTGACAGATTGAAGAGGAGGTGAAACGCCTAACCAACGGATACGGGGCTCATGCCGCCATCGTCCCGGTCGGAAGTGACGCTGCGTATGATCAAGCACTGAAGCTGCTTCGAAATCTTGGTACTCTGGTGTGCATAGGTTTGCCCAAGTCTGGGTTGGGACTTCCGATCTCGCCGTTCATGATGTGTGTCAGAAGTGAGTTGTTGTCGGCCCATTCCCTGTGGTCGAAATCCACTGGATTCAACGCAGGTGTCTAACACTTGTGGCAGGTCTCAATATAGTAGGATCTTCAGTCGGGACAGCGCAGGAGATGGATGAGTTGCTTGAGATGGCTGTCAAGGGAGAGGTGAAGCCCGAGATCTCCGTACTTGAGTTCGATCAGATCAACGACATCATGGGAAAGCTTGAGAGGTTCGAGATTGAAGGGAGAGTCGTTCTGAGACTCCCTGAGTGAAGCAGAGCGCCGAGTGGAGTCAGTCACAGAGGTACCGGTACAAAATTAAAATGACTTGTATATATGTTTTCTCTTTCCAAATTCTGTCACGCAAAGACCCCCTTAGCACAACAAGGGCGAGTACCGAGTTCGAATCCCGATTACACCACAATCTGGGTCCTGTCAGGTCAAACCTAACTCCGGGTTAGCAGGCATCAGGACCCCGATTTGAATCCTCCTCCCTCCCTCGATCGATTGATCCGACGACATCAACCACTGTAGTATAAAATTCGTAGTAAAACCGGGCGAGAAAAACCAACCCTGCAAAAGGGCGAGTTTTCCTTATCACAGACCAGCAGGTTGAGCTGTTCTGTGATAAGTTTTTGCCATTTTGGTCAGAGGTTCAAATTGAGTGTGAGAGTGTTTTTGTTTTTGAGTAGGGCCTTTTTGATTTGCGTGTGTAAGAGGGCCAGATTGTGCGAGTCTCAATTATCACAATACTCAGGGGAGGGAAAGTATGGCGCGAGGCTGAATCTGATATACTTGAAAGCGCCATAACTCGGTAATCACCTTCGGCAGGAGGGAGGGTGATGCCGCCCTTTGCTCACCCCTGACTCATCTTGGCTCACCCTTTGAATATACTCCCCCCCTGTAAAGGGGTAGAAAGAGGAATGGTAGTTGTTGACAGCATGGACGAGCAAATCCTGGGCGCCAGAGTTTTAAGCGGCTCCCGCTCTACAGAAATACTTGGGTTGAATAGCGATTGTGATCGTCGAGGCCTAATATGTTACAAATGTCTTGAGAGGAGAAAAGTGTTTCCTTGTTAGACTACATAAGAGCCCGGACAATACCAGGGGCGAGTACGAGATTCTCAGCAGACTAATTGGCCAAGGATAAGGGACTTGGAATGCTCCTTGCGCACAAAGTCTCCCCATTTTTTGGCCGGCTAATATAGTGCCTTACCTCGACCACCTCGAATCACAACGCATAGCGGAATAACAGGGACCGGTCCCCGAGCTTTGCTAGCTCATCATCGGTATGTCGAGACCGAACTTCGTCCTCTGAGACCCGTGACCTCGAACTGTTGATGCGCTTGTAGGATGCCTCTAGAATGAGGGCGGCAGCGATGGCTGAGATTGCCAGCGCGAGACTGGAACCAAAGCCCGTCGCATAACCAGGCTTTTCTTTTTCAAGGTATATGTAGCTTCCTAGGATACCTCCCAGGTTGCTGAATGCCACCCCAAATGCAAGGCCCATGGCTCTTCTGGATTGTCCTGCTAAGTTGGTAGCCAACCATGCACAGCCGGCTGGGTTGCAAGGGTATTGCCCAATGCATACCAAGAAGACACCAACGTAACAAGGTGCGATTTTGCTGGTGATATTGGGCGCGAAACCAACGATTATTGCGAAGCCGACGACCATCAGTGACAACGGTCCAACCAGGAAAGGCATCCGCCACTGAAACCTGTCTGAGAAACGGGCAAATGTGTATGCGCTGATGGCTCCAGCGACATAGGGAGGTATAGTCATCAACTGTGCTTGCGAGGATGTGTACCCCATACTCTTGGTGATACTGGGCATGGTGAATTTGAGGCCTGCATTTGAAAGAGACTTAGGTCGGGACGAAATTGAGCATGACAAGCATTTCGGAGAAGGGATGAAAACAAGCAAGCCATCCAAGATCGACTCACCATAGGCACATCCAACTACAGAAAATAAAATCCAAGATTGGAGATAAAGCTTATAGTCGGTCAGAAGGGAGAACAAGTCTCCCCATCGGAATTTGTTGTTTGACGCCTCTTGTGATGCTCGGCCTCCCTCTTTGATGGTGATTTGGATGTCGAGGAATCTGATTTCTGACGGCGACAACCAGCGACTGGACAATGCCGGTGTATCAGGCATCACCAATGCGCAAATCAACCCCAGACAGACTGTTGCGAGCCCTTCAAGTATGAAGATCCAAGCCCATCCCGGTCGATTGCCTGTGCAATATTGGTCAGCGACTCACGCCCAACTCCGTAAGTGATTCCCTTGCCACTTACCGACGCCGTCCATCTTTGCAATAGCAAAAGCGAGCAAGCCTGAACAGGCACCTGAAAAGGCACTTGCACAATAGAAAAGGGCAATCCTGGTCTGTAGATGTGCAGCGGTATACCATCTTGAGATCAGGTAGACTTTCGAGAAGGGTTAGCACTTGGCGAGCGAGGGTATTCTTGTGCCCAACTGGAGAGGAAGAAATACTTACTTGCCGCCGGGAAGAAACCGGCCTCTGGAATGCCCAACATGAAGCGACAGGCAACGAGACCCCCAAAGTTGTTCACAAATCCTGTGCATGTCATGACAATGCCCCATGATAGTACCAGGATTGACATGTACGTCGACGGTCGTCTGAATTTCTTCAGAAGGATGTTGCTTGGAACCTCCAGCAAGATGTACGGGATGAAAAAGACACTCAGACTACCAAGGCTCCGCGTCAGCGATTGTCAAAGACGTACAATGCTCAGGATTTTCGGGAAAGTTGCTTACGCAATGTTATACTTCACACCAGTCAATTTCAAGTCTTCCATCAATCCTTCGATCTTTGCGTTGCCAATATTAGATCGATCAAGGTGTGAGATCAAGTACAACATGGCCAAAGTTGGGATCAGCCTCATGTCAACCTTCCAGAGCAGTCTCTTTCTGTCCTTTTCAGGAAAACTTTTGTAGAACTCGGCATCTTCGTCAGAAATACCAAGGTTGCGATACTCGTTGGTGGCAGTTTCCACCTCGATCGGAAGAAGCTCAATAATTTTTTTCTCCATTGTCATGGTCAGTGGGATGCTTGACAGGATACTAATACTTGTTATCTTGGGAGAAGTTTTCTTTTGAATCGAATGTCCAATGCAGCCTCTGGAAATGGTGAGTATATATATATATATATATATATATATCTCTACGCGTCTGCCAGGCACCTTGCAACGCGTGAGAAACATCTGACGGTGTCTCTCGGCTAGGAACACGCCTGGCGCTCAACGACTCGTCACGCTGGATTTCCCGGCGCCGCTTCAACAGCGCGTCATCAACGCGCTCAAAGCAGACCCCAAGACCGTCGACCTGCGCGCCCAGGCACCGCACTTCTACGCTCTCGGTGCCCGAATCATGGAGTTGTTCGATGATCGCGCGGTGCTGGATACCTTGTTAGATGTAAGTCTAGGTACTCGTGGCTGCTCCCCAGCCTTTTACGGGCTTAAGCGCCCCCGTCAACCCATGGTGCCCAAATCCACGCCTGATACTGATGCGAGAGGCATTTTGCGCGTGTCTAGACATTCAAACAACGAGCGGCAGAGATTGCCGATCAGGCACATAACCCCCGAGGCGCATTGGGTGACGGAGCAGAGTTTCTGAGAGGATTGGAGGAGAGTGAGCGACAGCTATTCAAGGCGGCACACGAGGGTCCCAAAGCCGTCAGAGCTTGGACGCAGGACTTGAAGAAGAATACTTGAAACTGTGGACTTCAAATGATGATGAGACAGGCACGCTTGTACGCGACATGACAGATTTATGCGGTGTCAGCAGACAGTTGTAACGAGAAACAAACGATGGCTCATATCCCTGCAGGATATTCTCAGCCAACACCCCCGGCGGCTTCCTTGACCTTTGCTTGCTCCGGAGGTTCATCCACAAACTGCGGTGGTGCGACTTCATCCTGCAGGAAACCTGGGGTACTCTCGCCGATACCCATCTCTTGCTCAAACATCATATCCTCGCCCAGCGCTTCCAGCTCGGCGTCCAACTCGGCCTCGTCAACCTCATCGGGTACGTCGTAAGCGCGACTTATACTTTCGTTGATCTCGTTGCCAATCTCCATCAAATCCGCCATTTCATCCTGCATCTGTTCTATCTTGTCAATGTTGATCTTGCCGTACTGTTGTTTCAGCGCTTTATTCGTGGTCTTCATAGCATCCACGGTGGTCATGACGTTCTTTAAATTATCTTGCATCACTCCGGCCTGTTCCATGTTCCATGATTGCTGCTGGAGTTGGTCCCGTTGTGATTCGTACATTTTGCGCCGTTGTAGGACTTTGAGGGCTTTCTGCTTTATCGCCTGTTTCCCGGGGCCGTCGCGCATCTTGGAGAGTTTCTGCTGGTATGTGGAGAGTTCGGCATTGATTTTGGCGAGCTTGACATCGAGAGAGTCGATCCTCGTGTCTACCTGCGACAAGGGTCAGACCATCCCAAGCTGTCCGGCGAGGGGGCAAGGACAACCCACATTTTGTATAGCACTGTTCAAGGTCGGCTTGGGAGCCGTGTTTTTTGAACCAAAGAGACGATTCATCTTGTGTGAGTTCTTGAATTAAAAGGCGTGCCCATCCGCGAGAGTAAACATACAGGAAATGTCGTGTTTGTGCTCGAAAAACTGGAGTGCCTTGTGAATGGAGCAGCGATGCAGAGAGAGTTGCCTGTCCAAGTTGGGCTTCTGAAGCGTCATTTCGCTCCGACATTTATCCGGCGGCACCGAGCCACTATCCCACCAGCACCCATCTGGCATTTTACAACTTTCTCATACTCACCCTGCGTGGTGGTCTTGTACTCTGGTCAAAGAATCTTCACTATGCGCCATAAATATATGAATCATATCAATGTTGTTTACGACTGAGGAATTTCTGGTCGCCATACTGAACAATGCTGATCAATGCGACTGATCAATGTGACAGGCCGAAGGTGAGGAAAGAAGGGAGACCAGGGGTAAAGCATCGTCCCGCACGAGATGCTGGTGATTGACTCAATCGATCTGCAGATGCGCAAATTGATAATTAGCACAGGAGCCTCATCGTTATGCTGCCCAAAGCATTGCCAGATGATCCCGGAAATATTGCACGTGTCCTTGCGGCGCCCCCTTTTCTACTTCGTTCTTTGTGCCACCTCATCTGCATCTGGTGTAACGCCTCCCATGCGCCTGGGCATTGTCATTATTTTCACTTGTTAGTGCTTGGGCCGGTTGGATGGTTGGGCTTCAGTGGGAACCGCTAAGATATCTGGGGGAGGTTGCCATTCGGACTTTCTAGGGAGCCATGTGGCATGGGCATTTTGTGGCGGGCAATAATCATCAGGAATCAGGATAGGCGGCTGGTTGGGCGCGGTGCGAAAGGAGAAAGGGGGGCGCTTTGCTTGTGGAGGCGCCAGCAAATGGGCCACACAAGGCAAGGCATCATCTGCTAATGGTCCGTCGCAAACTTGTCTTTGTGGCCGACGGGACTTCAGGACTCCAGCTTCTTCAGCCGGTGTTGTACCTCGTGCCCAAGTCACTTAGTACTTCTTCACATCACTTGGCTCTTTTTACCTGCGGTCCGTGTTACATGTAGCATAACTCTTGTCACTACTATTACCAGACCCTGTACTACAACCTATTCAAGGCGCCAGCCATAATACTATCGCTCCTCCCTACCCTACAAACGCCCGGCGCTGCTTTTCATGTGAGCTGGAGATTGGTGATTGCGTGGACTGTGCAGTTCTGACTTCTTCGCTGCCAAGTTCGCGCGTGGACATTCTCTCTTTTTTGGTTACCCGCCGAACCTCCAACCAGAATCCCGATTCATCCACAACTCACAAACCACCGCTCAATTACCTCTCGCGCTCAGACAACTTCCTCCCTACAATAATTCCTCCCAGGCGAACAGTCCTTGGACTTCAGTCTTTGACCGTAGTCTGGACTTCTCTTCCAGTCACTCCTTTGTAACAACAGGTAAACATGCGTGATTGCACACTCCGAGTTGCCGGCAACATCGCACAGCGATTCCCGGTTGCTCATCTTCTCCATGTGTTTTCAGAGAGCTAACTTTTGGATATTGACGACAGCGCTGGACCGTCTGTCTATGTCTTACTCAATATTCAGCTCACGAGTTACGACTTCCCACTGCTTGTTACTTGACGATCACATTCCTACGATACTGTATCATTACTAAGACCTCCTGCATTGCTCCGATCGCGTCCGAGTCGCAGCCGCAACCATGTTTTGGCGATTTGGAGGCTACTCCAATATATCCTCTATCGACACGCTCCTCGAAAAGCCCAATGTCAGGCTCGAAGACTTATTAGAAGAGACCGACCTCATTCAGGAGCTCAAGTCGCACCACACTAAACTGATTGAATATTTGCGCGATGAACCAAATTTACATGCTCTCCTAAACTACGTTATTGCCCCTGGCCCTAAATCTGAGCACGAAGAAAATGAGGAGGATGAAAAGGGCAAAGGCCTCGTGACGGATAATGAAGATGAGCCGCAACCTCTGGATGAAGAACAAGAGAAGGCTGAGAAGATGCGCTTGAAATATGCCTATGTCGCGTGCGAGATACTGTCCTGCGAGACTTGGTCGATTACGGAGTCTCTGATGGCCAACACCCCTTATCTCACCGAGTTTTGGGATTTCCTGCGGCAACCTGCTCCATTGGACCCTCTCCAGGCTGGCTATTTCACTAAGGTCAACGAAACCCTGCTCGAAAAGAAGACCGAGGAGATGTTGGATTTCTTCAAGTCGCTTCCGGGTATCGTGCCCGCCATTCTCCAGCACGTCGACTGTCCAATGGTGATGGACCTGTTGTTGAAAATCATCAGTCTGGAGAAATCTGACGGCGGAATGGGCATCGTGGATTGGCTTCAGGGGCAAGATCTGATCCCAATGCTCCTTTCTAACCTGTCCCCCGAATGCAACTCCTCGACCCAGACTTCTGCCGGGGATTTCCTGAAAGCCATCATCACGATATCTGCAAATGCGGCTCAAAATGAGCAATCCTGCATTGGTCCCAACAGCCTGACACGCCAATTGGTGTCGGAAAAGTGCATCCGACAGCTTATTTCATACATGCTCAGGGGCGGAAACCCGCTCACCGTGGGTGTGGGAATCGTGATCGAAGTTATCCGGAAGAACAACTCAGACTATGATCCCGATCAAGGTCACAGCGCTGATGCCCCTCCAACTAACCACGACCCCATCTATCTTGGCACCCTCCTGAGGTTATTTGCCCATCATGTTCCGGACTTCATGAACCTTATCCTCAGCTCTAAGCACACTGTCACCGAAGGCGAGGAGACCAAGGTAGTAGAGAGAGGCCAACTCAAATCGGCATGGGGAACGCAAATCGAGCCCCTCGGCTTTGACCGATTCAAGACCTGCGAGTTGATGGCTGAACTACTTCATTGCAGCAATATGGGTCTTCTCAACGAGCGAGGCAGTGAAGAATTCATCAAAGCCAGAGACGCCGAGAGGGAGAGACTCAGAGCGCAAGGGGCGTTTCTATCTACCAGGCAATCGGAAGATTCGACCGTCGACATTTCGGCGAGTTCGTCGAGATTCGAAAACGCATTCACCCCGTCGGGCTCCACCTCGACAGAAGAGCTACGCATTGCTAACCTCAATGACGAAGATGGATTTGAAAAGGTTGCTGTCTCTGAAGCGACAGATCTCGCTTCAAGCTCGAAACCAGACTCGGCTGAAAAGCCCACGCTATCTCCGCGATCCTATGACCAAGCAGATACGCCGACTGGTGCTCTCGACGAGACCGTTCGTCGTCTCAGCCTTGAGGACACGGACATGACCGCACCCGATGAGCATGAGGTGAACACTCTGACTTCAACACGGGAATCCCAGCCCGAAGACATTTCGCCCCATCCAGACGACAAACCTGCACCATTGTTCTCAAAAGCATCGGATCCTAACAAGACACCCACGGCGAATAGCCCAGAGCCGCCTACTAGCCCGTCTAACTCGAAACTTCGACTCGATGAAGGACAGCCAGAAGGAGAATCATTCCAATCGGGTCACGATGACACAATGCAGGTCGTCCAGTCAGAAGCTCCTGCTGTGGGCGAGGCACCAGTTGTTGGGGATTATCTGAAAATTATGTTTGTGGAGAACAGGGTTGTCCCGACGATTTTGGTGAGATTTTTGTTCTGCCGATTCTATGTGAGGTGCTAACACCGGACAGAGCTTCTTTTTCCGCTTTCCGTGGAATAACTTCCTCCACAACGTCGTGTATGACGTTGTGCAGCAAGTTTTCAACGGGCCCATGGATCGCGGCCATAACCGATTTCTAGCGTTTGATCTCTTCGAAACTGGTCGTATCACTGACGCGATTATCGAAGGGCAGAGACGAAGTGACGAAGAACAACGGGCGAGGAATATGCGCCTAGGGTACATGGGACATCTGACACTAGTAGCAGAAGAGGTCGTCAAGTTTGGCGAACGACACCCCAGAGAGTTGCTATCGCCTATCGTTCAGGATTATATCTATTCTCAGGCTTGGGAGGAATACGTTACCAAGACACTCGCCGAAACCAGAGAACGCGACAATGCCATCTTGGGAGGGTTTCGACCAGATAACGGTATCGGATCCAGGCAAGCTGTTCTGAATGCTGTGAATGCTGGACAAGGCTTCGGTGTTTCGAGTGGCTTGGCTGGGGTTGGACTGGGTGGAGGCCAGCATGGTCTGGACAGCATCGACTTGTCCAACAATGGTAGCGCCACTAGCGCTGGCTACAATTCAAATGGATCAGTTTCCAGTGGGTTTGGAAGCTCCTCTGACGACGATGACGAAGATATGGATGACGCAGAGGATGAAGAGCATGTGAGGACAGTGAATCAGCTTTCTGCTGCTGATAGCGGTCTCTCGTCGGAGAGTGTGAGTGGGACCAATACAATCCAACGGCTGTTTACGTTTTAAGCTAATGATGTGCTCTGCATGTGAAACAGTCCGATCAGCCAATACCCTTACTTCCACCTCCGCCAGCACCACTCAACATTGAGCCATCACGTGCTCGCCGGCGGTTGGCTGATCGATTAGCGAGACACAAACAAGAGGCCGAGCAGGAGGTGGCAGCGTCCGAGTTCGGCTCCGAAGCAGACGACCCATTCGCTGCGCTGGGGAACGGCGATGACAACGATTCAGGCGATCCGTTCTCGTTGGACGAAGAGGAACAAGACATCACGACGTTTGGAAAGCGGAGTAATATCAATTCGTTTAATACAAACACAAGCGACCACCACAGCTTTTCGGTCAGCAGAGGACTGACCAGTTTGTTTTCTTCAGCACCAAGTCGGGAAATGCATGGACAAACGTCACACGACGACTTTGATGGGTCACTAGATGACTCGTCGTCTGACGGGTCGGGTTCTGACATAGATTCGGGAAATCCACCTCTGGAAGCCAGGACAAGTCTGGAGCGGCGCCCGCTGGAAGTTTTTGAAGACGAAGAGATGGGAGAAATGGTGGCTCCAAGCGAAGAAGTTGAGAGCAACAGTTCTGACGAAGAGGTGTTGAGTCCGTTGGAGAGAGAGAAGTTGGAAAACGCGTATGGAATGAATGATGATCCCGACGAGCAGGCCTCGGAGTTCGCGGGACAAGCGGACCATGATGATGACGATGATGATGAGGATCATTTGGTTGAGATTGCGATCCCTGCCAATTCGAAGCGGAGATCGCGAGGTTGATGTGTTTTGCCTACAAGATCTGATATCCTCGGAAGATTTTGAGGGATTCAAAGTGCAGAGTTTTGCGGAGGATTCGACCGATTCCGAAGAGCTTCTCTTGATGCTCGTGGTGGACAGATCTGCACCCAGCCAGCAACGAGCGGACGGAAAGATACAGTGTACAATTACCCACATCTTTTGTGATACCCCCTCCATACACATTCGGTTATGAGGAAACAACAGGCGGGAAGAAAAGGGATTTTCCGAGTTACGGCATGGCATGGCCTGGCATTTAAAGCTAAAGCAGATGAAAACAAGTCCATTTCTTTCCGATGACAAGAGTCAAGTTAGGTTAGGTATGGGTTGAGATGGTGGCGCGCAGGAGCCATAAAGCCATAAATAAGCAGTGTGTCTGTCTAATAGTTTTTGGAGATTGGAGGTAAAGAGCGTGTGAAGAGCGTGAGGTGAGGTTGACATAGAAGTTTTGCGGTCGAAATTTGGCTACCAAGGGGAGAGAGGGATGAATGCATTGTCTGGAGTATGAGGAGAGTGGAGCGAAGACTCCGCCTCCGTGCGTGTCAATTCGATTCGATGATATCTTTGTGGATAAACAAGGAGATGAAGATGGAAGTGAAGATGAAGAAGTAGCTAGTGCAGGCGGTAAAGGGTCTATGAGTCAGTGAGCATGTGTGTTGTGTACGATAGCAAGAGTGAGAGCGAGAATGAAAATGATAGAGCCGTAACAACAACGGGTCTGTGAGTTCGTCAATTAGTTGACATACGAGCAAGGTAGGTAGGTATTGCACCCGGTTTTTTCTTTTCTATGTCTATCCAGGTTCATTCATCTCGACAAAACGACAAGTCGCCTCAAGTCCAACCTGTTCTGTACCCGCTGGTAAAAGTCCATATCATCCATCTCGTGAAGAAAATCCCTAACCTGACTGCCCACCTACCTACCTACCTACCTACCTACCTACCTACCTACCAACCAGTGCTACCTAAACCAAGTCCTCGGGACTGTAGGAATATTGTTTTTTGAAAACCTCTACTCGTCACCTAGATGGCCACCTCGCCACCTCTCTAGCTCTCTAGGTATCTAGCGGAGCTGGACGTCAATTCAACGCCCCCTCCAACGCGTCCAACTGCTCCAGCACGGCGCGCCGACTCGTCCCGCCCGTCGCGTCCTTGAGCTCGACCGAGCGCTCGTAGTCGAAGACGCTGCGTACGTCGGCGCCGAACCGCGCGTCCACGCCCTGGAACTGCGCCACGCTGAGTTGGTCGAGGCCCACGTCGGCCGACTCGGCCAGCGCGACCATCTGTCCCGCCAGGTGGTGGGTTTCGCGGAAGGGGACGCCTGTCATTCGTCAGAGACGAGGTCAATGATAATGACAATGTCAAAGATAGGGTGAGGAAGAGGAGGAGGGTGGAGGATGAGTACAAAGACCGAGGATAAAGTAATGAGGTAGAGATAAGACGACGGGACGGGAGAAGAAAGAAAGTTCTTACCCTTGCGAACCAAATACTCGGCAAGATCCGTCGCAAGCATGTCCGGGCTCAGCGCCGCCCGCATCTTCTCCGGGTACACCGTCGCCGTGGCCAGCGACCGCGCCGCAATCTGCAGGCTGTCCTTGACCGTCTTGACCGTGTCCAGCATCGGCTGCAGGCTCTCCTGCAGGTCCTTGTTGTACGTGGTGGGCAGGCCCTTGACGCTCATCATCAGCCCGGCCATGGCACCGAAAATCCTCCCGGACTTGCCGCGCAGCAGCTCCAGCGAGTCGCTGTTCTTCTTCTGCGGCATCAGCGAGCTGCCCGTCGTGTACGCGTCCGCCAGCTTGACGTAGCCGAACTCGAGCGAGCTGTACAGAATCAGGTCCTCGGACCACCGCGACAGGTGGCTCCCGATCGTCGCCGCGCACTGGAGCACCTCGACCACAAAGTCGCGGTCCCCGACCGCCGACATGCTGTTCATGATCAACCCCTCAAACCCGAGCTCCTTGGCCAGCTGCACCCGGTCGATGCCGAACGCGTTGCCGGCCACGGCGCCACAGCCGAGGGGCAGTTTGTTGATGTTCTTCTTGGTGAAGCGCAGACGTTCGAGGTCGGACTGGAAGGCCGTCGCGTGGCTGAGGAGCCAGTGACTCCACCGGACGGGCTGGGCCCGTTGGAGATGCGTGTAGCTCGGCATGATGTAGTCGATGTCTTGCCTGGCGCGCTGGGCGATGACCTTGAGCAGCTCAACCAGGTACTGCTCAATCAGGACGAGCTCGTCGCGGAGCCACATACGCATGTCGGTCGCCACTTGGTCGTTGCGGCTGCGGCCTGTGTGGAGCTTTCCTGCGATGTTTGTGCCGATGATCTCACCCAGGCGGCGTTCGTTGGCGGTATGGATGTCTTCGCAGTATAGTGTCAGTGATTACTCCGAGATAGAACATTCTGCCAGTAACATCATGAACAATCATCCCCGTGTACTGGTGGACAGCCCACGCATCGACATATATCCCACTTGACCGTCGCCCCCCCCAACCCCCCCTCTTTCTGGCCAATGCCCAAGACCACATCACAACAACGCCTGGAGTACGCTAGAACCTGCACGACTCACTCACTTAGTCACTCACCTTCATCGCCCGGCGCGGGCTGGAACGTCCCCTCCTCCCACTCCTTGAGCACCTTGCGAAGGCCCTCCTCCAACTTCTCAAATTCATGCTGCGTCAAGATCCCCGTCTTGACGTTCGCCCGCGCGTACGCAATCGAGCCGCGGATGTCCTGCGCGTAAAATACCCGGTCTACCGACAAAGACTCGTTGTACTGGTCCATCAGCGGGTCGATCTCACCCGTGAACCTGCCGCCCCAGAGCCGGACTGGGGCTGCGGTTTTTTGGCCCTGTGATGTCGTCATCTTCTTGGAGATTTTTGGAGGTCTACTCAGTACATGAGCAAACGAGAGTGTATCCGGGTAAGGAGTGAAGGACTTGAAAGCAAAACAGGGAAGAAAAAAAAAATGCGACGAGGACTTGTTAGTATAGACTCATCTCGCTAGAAAAAGGAAAAACTTCGGGGACCAAAAAAAAATTGGGTGATAACGGCTCCCTTGGCATTGGCGATTTGCGGTGACGTTTGCCAAGAGATTATCAAACGAAAATACTGTGTATTTATGGGCCACCCCGGATTTTGGGGATGGAAAAAGCTGGGGGCGGCGACAAAGGACAAGTCGGGCAGAAAGAGCTTGAGAGACAGCCCTGTGCCACGCCTTCGGTCCTGGATGTGGATGATGCCAGATCCAACCGTTGATTCGTTACCACCGCTTAAATACCGAGTACATGTACCTATATCCGTAGTTTGGTGTATCGACAGCCAGGTCACGTCCGTTCAATCCCCTCACACAAGCTTAATCTTCTGCTTCTTCGCCCCAACCAGCCAGTCGTTCCCACACGTAAAATGGCCGATCCGCTCGTACGCCCCGGGGACTCGCGATGACTTTGTCAAGACAAGCCCGGAGACGCAGCCGTGGGAATGGCCCGCGACGCTGAGACACCACACCCGTGCTTTGAAAGGCTTGTAGCTCTCCCCTTGTTTGCCTCGTCGCACCATCCCGCCCGAATCGTCCTCGGTCAGGTCTTGCACCAATAGTGAATCCGGAGAAACGCCCACGGCAGTCCCGCTGCCAGGCATTGCCAGGTGGTACTCGAACTTGTAGCTTTCCGGAGCGACCAACGTCCCTTCCGCCAGGGGACCGCACAAGTCGATGAATCCGTCTGTGACCTCGCCCAGCGGATTGAGGCCGAATTCCGTACACGACATCTTCGTAATCGAGATGTGCGCACTCAACTCGACGGTTTCGTCCTCTGCGAGCCCAAAGGGCTGGATTTGCGTGTCCACCGAGGCCCACGAGAAGCTCGGCGCGCGGTAGTCGTCCAATCTCCGCGCGAGGTGTGGTGACTCGAGATGCGGTGCGGATGCCCAGAGTAGGTCCTCGACCAGATTGTCTTTCCACAAGCCCGCGACATAGACCGAGTCGGTGGCGCTTTGGACCTTCTTCGCGATCCCCGAGATGGCTGGGAGCTTGTCAGACGCCACGGTGAGCTTGCGGAGCGTGTACTGCGCGAGGATGCGGTGCCAGGTTCGGAAGATCTTGGACCGCTGTTTCACCGACAAAAGCAGTTTCGGTAATAGGCCTGGAGTCGTGGCTTTTCGCCTTGACGAGGGATTGCACTCGCAGCGATATGTCGAGCGGCACTCGAATGTCAGCTCCGTCTCTGTGTAGTGCAGAATTCGAGGCGACAAGACATTCTCTTGCAATGCCCAGGCTCGATCCCTCAGAGGGCCCTCAGTCCGAAAGGCTAGATCTCCATCCGGAGTTTCGTGGTGGTTGGAAACTTTTCGAGCTTTGACTGTAAACGTCTTCCCTCGTGTAGTTCGATGTTCCAGACGTAATCGCTTCGGACGCTGCACCAGGCACGGGTGGGTATTGTCCTCACATGCGTCTGCCGCGATTGTTATATAGGAGGCTTCATAGATGTCGCTCATCTTGGATGATTCGCTCTCCCAATCTTTTTTGTCATCTTGAATGATGCACAGGCCGTCGATCCACAGATAGCGAATGTCCAAGCGGCGTGTGATGGTGACCGCGTCTTGAAATAGGCCCGGTAACGTGTCCCAGTCGATCCCTTTCCGCATATTTCGCAAGTTTGCGCTGGTCGTAGTCACTGCCGATCCAGGTCCCCAGCAGTAGCTGAGGGTAATATATTCGACGTCCTTGCCCTTCAGCTCAACCAATTTTAGGTTTTTACCACCCTGCACGTCTATGAGTCTGGTTGGCAGTCTGCTCGGGGTAGATTTCCGGCATGCGCCATGTGCTGGGCTGGACATGCAGTCTTTGATGCACTTGCGGGCGAAATCAAACGACTCGTCAGAGCCCGAGGAAATTGGAATGCTGCGAGCATTGCCCAGTGCTGGCCACGGTGGCCTCTGGTCTGCCAAAGTATCAGAACTTGACAATGTTGTCGTGGCCAGAATGGTGAAGATTGTCTACGAAGTCATGGAACCGACATGGTAGGCAAAAGAGACGACGGAGACACACCTGACGGAGTATACAACTCAAACACGATAGACTTGCCGCTGGGCTCTTGTACGGACACCTTGATAGGTGAGCCCTCCAGAAGATCAATGCACACAGGGACACGGATATGGGCCCAGTCTCTCCCGACAAACCCCTGCAGAGATTGTCGGAGCAGCTTGCAATACTGGCAGTTGCTGGCAGATAGCTGGCGAGCGTCTATGCAGAGCGTGAGATTGGCATTGTGTTTGGTGGCACTGTCTGCATCGTACGAGCTGGATGTGTGACCCCGTGGACTCAGGTTATTGCAAAGCTTGCATCGGGAACGTGCTCCATGGCGCGTAGCCTTGGTTGACGAGGACTTCCCTCCCGCTCTCAGCATGGTGATCCTCGAACATGGGTATTCGAGGCTCAATTGACCTGAGACTTTGGCACGAGCCCAATTAGGGGTCTGAGACTCTGCTGGTGAAAGAAAGAATTGCCAGTCTGAGAGGAGCGGCTCACGGGCTAGCTCATGGATGGAGGAGGGATAACGAATGTCGAGAAGTGACGGAACGATCAAGGATTTCCTTCACCACGTAAATCATTCTGCCGGAGGTTGTTGTCGTGGGACTTTTAAGAGCCTAGAAGTCAATACGAAGAAGCTTCAGGGGCCAAAATTGGTTTCACAATAGAAGGCCTTGGCCCCTTCTGCACGTGATGGCAAGGCTGTGTACAATTTTGTAAAGACAGAAAATTCTAGGGTTCTTAGCCAGTAGGAGGACTTTGAGCGTCTTTGAGAAGGAGGTGTCCGTCTCAAGTATCATGAGAGTAGCCCGAGCTGTCTGTCTGCATTGATATTCTGTGTGCACACTCGTACAGACCTTCCTGGTTCAGAGCACAAGGTTACGAAGGAGCACAAGAACTGTCCCAGTGTGGTCTGGTCCAATCAGATCAAGTAACCTTTCTTAGAGAATGTAGATTTCTATTCTGATGTTTTCCATCTCAAGCCAAATTCGGAAGAAGATCCAACATAGTGTCTAGAGGACGAGTAGCTGGCTCGGGCCGAGATGGACGTGTCTGACAGTGGATAGGCCAACCCACCGAGCCACCACCACCCGAGCCGAGCCGAGTACAGTGAAGAGATAGAGGTACTCCATCGAGCCTGTCTGCCTGTTCAACCCGGGCATCCGTCTACAGTCTCGCAGCAGTCCCATCGAGCCTCTTCAGCAGCTTCTCCAGGTGGAAGAACGGCTCAAACTGCTCAAGCATGGCCAGCTCCTGCGGACTGAGTCTCTGCTTGGTCTTGGCCTGCGCTCCACCATTCACAACAGCCTTGACCTGGATCTCCATCTTCTTTCCATTGGCATTGTAGGGAATCTCCTTGACCTCAAAGATGTGAGCCGGGACGTGTCTCCTGCTGAGATCCTTGGCGATTTGATCGCGGATGCGGCTCTCCAGTCCTTTGTTTGGGAGAATGTGGTTGGAAGACACGCCTTCCCGACATTTGATGAAGAGGAGAACGCGCTCGGTGGTGTCTGAGTAGGGCGCAGCGCTGCGTTGCTGGCCCACGACCACCGAGTCGACTATCGACGACGTGAAGCGCGGTGATGAAAGAATGTTGTAGATTTCTGAACTGCCGAAGCGGACGCCAGACGGGTTCAGAGTGCCATCACTATCAGCCATGTTAGGAGTCGCCGTCTTCTCCACCAGTCATGGGACATTGACTGACCTTCTTCCCAACACATAAGTCCCCTTTGTCGCAGGATTGACTTTGATGAAGTCCCCATGTGTCCATACATCTTGCGTCTCGTCAGCATAGATCAGCGGAATCAACAACAATAGACTCACGGGGGAACATGTCAAAGTACGCATTGTAATACCGCTTCTTCCCAGGATCCTTCCAGAACATGGCGGGCATGTTGGGAAATGGTTTCCTGCAGACTAGCTCGCCGCTCTCTCCATCGGGGACTTCGATCCCGTCTGGCGAATATGCAGCAATATCCATACCCAATGCCTTGACAGCGACCTCTCCGGGGTACGATGGGAGAGAGCGCGTTCCATGAATAAAGGAACCGCACAGCTCAGTGCCCCCTGAGAACTGGATCTGGCACACAGGGCCGAACGCTTCTCCTAGCCATGATGCCAGACTTGGCGTGAGCACCGCGCCCGTAGAGAAGATCGTGTGAACATTTTGAGCGTATTTTCCTGTCTCGTCTATCAGTGGACTAGAACAAGAGACAAAAGGCTTCGAAGAACGAACTGGGCGTCACATTCCTCTTCTGCAGCTCAGCATAATAACGCGGGCCGGCGCCAAACCCGGTGATACTGAAAATTGCTTGTCAGATATCGTCGCACTTTAAGAAGTATCACTGTTACAAACCCCGTTGCCAAAACGCCCTGAAGGAACTCCTCCGGGGAGGGATAGAATGGTGATCCGTCATATAGGACCATTGTGGTTTTGCAGAAAAGGGCGCCTATCGATATGTTCCACAACGTCCACCCAATCTGCTGGTCGTGAGATGCTTGTTCCGAGGGAAATAGTGAGAGGAATGGCTAGAACTTACACCACTGAAATGGAAGTGTATATCCTGTGGGCCGAAGCTGTTGTGGAGGCGGTGCTCCTTGAAGCCGTTCAAAAGCAGACCCTGCTTCACATGAGCTGGATTCTACGACAGTGGTATTCACCGCATACCCCATGTGAGTGTACAATGCCCTTCGGAGTCCCTGTCGTCCCAGAAGAGAACATGATGACCAGAGGTGTATTGAAGGGGACTTGCTCAAAGGTGAGGGGTGATTGACAGTCGGTGCCGCCGATGAAAGCCTCAAGGCTCTCACTGCAATAAGATAAGCGATCAGCTCTTGATGACAAAACTGGGGATTCAAGCTGCTTTACCACTTTGTTTTGAAGCCCGTCGTGTCTCCTATCACGACCAGGTTCAGTTGACTTGAGACTTTGCTTGTCCAGCCATCGACCTTTACCGTGATGTTGATGCGTTTCCCGTTGTATGAATAGTCTGACTCGGCGAAAACTACGCGAGGTTCGATCTGGCTGAGTCGATCGTTGAGTGCCTTGAACAACATCAGCCCAGCATGAATATCCTTCATGGGAGAGTAGCTTCACCTTGTCCCCAACATCAGTTGCAAATGATGCAAAAATACCGCCCACAGCCGCCGTAGCCAGTAGTAAAGCCAATGACCTGGTGCAGTTACTTCCTATTACTGCAGACGTATCAATCACTTCAGCGCTTCACACACAATTGCTGCTGTCATCCTTACAAGCAACAACATCTCCCTTTGCAACGCCAGCCCGACGCAGTGCGTTCGCATACGTTCTGACCAAGTCTCTGAGGTCTCGCCACGTGTATCGTCGAGGACTCGACAAATTCTCCTCGTTGACATCGATGACAGCCACCCGATCGTCGTCACCACACAGCATATTCTCTGCAAAGTTGAGTCTTGCTTCCTGGAAGAACAGCGGGAACTGGTCGATGGGGATGTTCTCGTCCACCGCCTAATGGCGTTCAGCATGTGGATTGACAGCCAGCGAGTGATTGCAACTCACAACTTTAGGGTGGACAGATGCTTTGATGTCAAGAAACCGCCATAGTGCCATCCAGAAGTCATTCAGTCGGTTGATGGAAAATGCATGCAAGTCCGCGTACGTCTCTGGGATTATTGAAGTGAGCGTTGACCTGCAGATAATACCAATAGACATGAGTGTTCTGAGCATGGCAACTTACGCAGACGCAGACCATATCTCCTGTTCACATAGGTCTGGAAGTCTTCCCAGGCAGTCCGAAGACCTGGCGGCGGTATGTAAACGGGCTTCACTATCATGTTTGGCTATGAGAGATGTTTTCGTGTCACATTGAGAATTCAGACAGTAAGATATGTCTTTCGAGGTTATGAGTACGTCCACATCAGGCTGACCGAGTTCGCTATTATTCTTGAACCCACCCGATGTCGCTCTATTTTCGGCCTTCTCGACCATGAGCCGCACCACCTGTGCCGTAGCAGCGCTTTACGCCGACGAAGCGAAGTCTTGTGCCCAGTGAGCAATGCCGAGGCTTTCCCCGCGTGGTGGAGAGGCTGTCGGGGCCTAATTGTATGGTGGGTATTATGTTTTATCTATATCCTCCTCTAGGTTTGTTTGTATAGTTCAGATGTACGTTTATAAATGTTGCTCGCTTCGAGTGCAGGGAGGAACATCGTAGGGAGGGAGGCCAGAAATCGGGTCCGATACTGGGACTCGGTCTTTCGCTTTTGACAAACTAGACGATTTGGGGGCGTCTGGTTAGCAGGACATTGGAAGAAGTGGTGGTGGGTTGCTCTGTTTTCCACGGTGCTCACAACACTCCCTCAACTGGAATTGAAGAGTTTTGATTCGGGTGTAGGACGATTACTGACAACGTACACCGTATACGAACATTCTCGACAATAGGCGGATAAGGGAACACCAGTGGCTCCCGCATCGTCCGGGTTCAGAACCAGAGGGTGGCTGTCGGAGAATTTTGGATTTCCGGGGTGGGAAAGAGTTTCATCACTTCAGTGCGGTTGCCTCCAAGACTTCGACAATTCTACCCTGTTCTGCCTGTTGTGTGGGATCCCATTGTTTTTTCTTTTCCAGCAAAGCTTGCTTCTACTCGGATACAGACAACCGTGATTGCTATTATACCCGCCTCGCTATACCCAGCACGAAAGATTTTCCACCACTGCACCGCTGATTAGGCGAGGAGGAACTCCGGCATCTGTAGGGGCTGAGATGGGTATCTCTACGAGGTACCTCGTACCCCTATTCTCTGCTATTCTCTGGACTTATGCGCATTAACGGACCTTGCACCTCTTTTGGATCTGATATTCGTCCTCACCTCCAATGCCTCGTACAGTGACGGTTGTAATATCTTAGGAGACATCATCGATCGGAGCCATCAACTTATGCCCACCTAGAATGCAAACAAGCTATTCAGCAGAGTCGTGCCCGGTCTAGTCTACCCTACCGTAGCTTCGACTCACGGTTTAGATGTTGGTCCGTACCAACGCGGCGCCTCTTCCAAACACACCCTTTCTTCCACATGCCTGGACAAACATCTTCAAATGTACCGAGAACCAGTACGAGTTGGGTAAGCACCGTTGGCTATCTAGGAGTATGAGGTACAATCTTAAGGGCACTCGCCGACCTGCGTTCTGTGCCTCTAATGGTAGCTGAAGGGAGCAATTTCCAAGATGGCTGAGTGGCGCATTCTGAAACTCATCTAGCACCCAGACATCACTTTGGGGGCCCGGTAAGGTATTCATATTTCCTCTGCTTGTCTGCCCGCGACTTTTTACAGTTCAGATCCAATATCTCTCTACGCGAGGCGAGGTTGGCGAGGCAAAGGCTTGTCTATTACTGTCTGTGAA